TCCTTGTCCATTTTATTCTCCTGCATAATTTAAGATTTAAGGGCTGTGTGTTTGTGCAGAATTGTGACAGAGGACAACTGGGCAGGTTTCATGCTTGCACTCCAGGCACCCAACACCCAAAGCAAGAAGACTCTTACGCAGAATCAGGGATGGGGGATTTCTGATCTTGCATCTAGAACTGGACTATAACTGCCCACATCCCTCATTCTAAGAGAATGCTGATGGTTGGGTTATCATCAGCTGCAATCGGAAGGCCCCTTTTTCATGATTCTTGCACAGACCATCTTATCTAACCTGATGTCTCCAGAAGATTACATCTTCCTTGTTGCCAAGTGGATTTGCCACAGTAAGCAAGAAGAATGGGAATTGTACTACAGCACGTTTGAAGAATATCAGGTTGCCTGAGCCTGACAATGCTTTATCAGTGTTCTAATCCTTCAGGATGCCCATAGGAACCAAATATTAACTGTCCGTTGAATAGAAGACATTTTTGAATGATGAATTGCTTTGGAATTACTCAACCCCATTTTGACTACTCCAGATGTGTGGTCTTCTATTCCCAGAATTCCCTGTCAGCTGGGGAATTCAGGGAACTCGTTTGATGCATCGGCTGTGTTAGATTGCGCACAGCATGACTATTATTTTGAGACAACCCAGGAGCAATATACAGTACACAGAGGTTTTGTCTTTCAAACAGTGGTTTATATACAGGACTTGTATATACATACATACATACATCTGTCAGGCAAATACTAGGCAAGCAATCAATCTTCAACTCCACACAGAGAACTACAATGGAGATAGATACATGAGGAGAGAGATACACCCTCACATGGCCTCCCTTATATAGGCTACTTCTTAAAGTGGCAGTAACCCTGCCGACTCATTCTCATTTCATCATCTCAGTTTACACCCTTACAGGAAACTGGTCAGCTACCCTGACAGGCTGGGCCTTTTGAAGTTTATCACTTAGCCTAATAATTCCTGACAACTGCAGCAAGAAAGATCGTAAAACAGGGCAAAATTCACTTAATAAATTCTCACTTAGCAACATAAATTGTGGACTCAATTGTGGTCATAGGTCGAGGACCAGCTGTATTATAATCAGCACTGAAAACTGGAGAGTATCTTCATACAAGATTTGGGAGGGAGAGCCAAGCTGCAAAGAATATTGAAAGGGCTAGAAAGAAACACAGATAAGGGTATTTTTAAAAAAGGAACCAGGAAGATAACAGAAAGAGAAAATATTTGATCTGTCCGGGACTAATCCCGGGGAACTTTTATATTAAAATTACTAGCTGCAAAGGATCCATCAAAACTAAATCACTGAAAAGAAAGAGCAGGTAGGAATTGCTGAGAATCAATAACAGCAAACATGTGACAAAATGCCAAATGAAATGGGTAAGAACCAGCTTCTTTGTAATTTTTGCTAATTCTAAACAAAGTAGGTTGCATAAGAACCTAAGAGTATAATCTACTCCCTACAGTTAGAGGAGCAGTTACAACATGTTGAAAGGTAACATGTGAAGTGTTCACGGGAAGCATTAATACTTTATAATGCCTTGGTAAGACCACGCATGGAATACTGCATTCAGTTTTGGTCGCCACGATGTAGAAAAGATGTGGAGACTCTGGAAAGAGTGCAGAGAAGAGCAACAAAGATGATTAGGGGACTGGAGCCTAAAACATATGAAGAAAGATTGCAGGAACTGGTATGTCTAGTTTAATGAAAAGAAGGACTAAGGGAGACATGATAGCAGTCTTCCAATATCTCAGGGGTTACCACAAAGAAGAGGGAGTCAAACTATTCTCTAAGGCATCTGAGGTTAAACAAGAAGCAATGGGTAGAAACTAATCGAGAGAAGCAACTTAGAACTAAGGAGAAATTTCCTGGCAGTTAGAACAATTAATCAGTGGAACAACTTGCCTCCAGAAGTTGTAAATGCTCCAACACTGGCAGTCTTTAAGAAGAGGTTGGATAGCCATTTGTCTGAAACATTATGGGGTTTCCTACCTAGGCAGGGGGTTGGACTAGAAGACCTCCAAGGTCCCTTCCAACTCTGCTATTGTGTTCTATAGTTGCAAACCATGATGGCTCCCTTGGCATGCTATGTTTGATTAGCTCTCATCCTGAGTAGGTCTTTTCAATGCCTCTGCCTGTTGTACAGACTCCCTTCTTTGGATGAATGCATGATATAGGGTTTCCTGCCTAGGGGGTTGGACTAGAAGACCTCCAAGGTCCCTTCCAACTCTGCTATTGTATTCCCATTCTTCTTCTAACACAGTTCACCGGTGTAGAAAGCAAGACAACCAGCTGGTTCCAGAGCAAATTTCTTGGCCCTTAAATCTCAAGAGCAATTCTGGGTCAAAAGCTGGAGGTAAACCCTGCGAAAACAGGAGACGGAAGGCCTTGAGACAAACTATCAAATCTGTGTTGCAAAAATCCTGATGCCCACTAGATGCCAACACAGCTAAGAGATTTCTGCACCTGTCCGCTTACATACCTGCTGCTCCGCTGCTTTATTCTCAGGACAGATCTGCAGCTGTTTGAAGAGTCTTCTCCAAAATGTATGGAATGGACTTCTGAAAAACAATGGGGAGAAAATCTGTGCAAAGAGGAAAATTTGCCCACGCAAACACTTGTGACATGGGCCCTTCCTGTTTACACCCTTGCATCACTTTCTAGAGCAGTGTTACTCAACCTGGGCAACTTGAAGATGAGTGGATTTCAAATCCCTGAATTCCCCAGGAAGAGATTTCTCATCCAGCCCCAGTTGGAGAAAGACGGCTTCTGAATCAGAATCCATTTCAACAGATCTAAAAGGTAAAGGTTCCCCTTGCACATATGTGCTTGTCGTTCCTGACTCTAGGGGGCGGTGCTCATCTCCATTTCAAAGCCGAAGAGCCAGTGCTGTCCGAAGACGTTTCCGTGGTCATGTGGCCGGCATGACTAAATGCCGAAGGTGCACGGAATACAGTTCCCTTCCCACCAAAGGTGGCTCCTATTTTTCTACTTGCATTTTTACATGCTTTCGAACTGCTAGGTTGGCAGAAGCTGGGACAAGCAACGGGCGCTCACTCCGTTACGCAGCGCTAGGGATTCAGACCGCCGAACTGCCGACCTTTCTGATCGACAAGCTCAGCATCTTAGCCACTGAGCCACCGTGTTTTAAGAGCTTAATTCTCAGTATTTGCACAGGACTGGGAAAATGAGGAAAGACCTACAGAAAAAGATGTAATTAAAAAAAAAATACTAGACTGCAGAAATAGACAGATTGGCATTAAAGATATAAGAAAAAGAAGGTACAGAATATTTTCAAACATGGGACTTGTTTTATTAATTGTTGGATAATAGAGGTAGAAATTAAGAACTGGGAACCACTTAGAGAGGGCATTGTGAAGTGGTTTATATGTCTAAGTCAGAGGTGGGTTCCTACCAGTTCGCACCTATTCGGTAGAACCGGTTCGTCAAATCTACCAAACCGGTTAGAAGAGGTTCCACCAGTGGACCCGGAAAGCAGGCCACACCTACAGAAGAGGTTCCAAAAATTTTTGAAACCCACCACTGGTCCTTGGATATGATTATTCTACACTATCATGCTCATATTTATAAAACTCAGTGCCTCTGTGAACAGTGAGGATAACTACTGCGTTTGTGGTGCAATCAGAACATTGCGTGTGTTGAAGTTGTTTTAACGCAAACCAAAGATGTCTTTTAAAACACAAGTTTACATCATATTCTTATGCATGCCAGTGCTGTGTGTGAGGTAATTTAAGGTGGTTCTGACAAGTGTCGTCGGCATCTTCATATCCGGTCACATGGGCGACAAGCCACTCCCATCCGGTCACATGGGCGGCAAGCCACTCCCACAAAGGAGGCCACACCCACAGAGTACGTTAGAACAATTTTTGAAACCCACCACTGGTCTAAGTGTTATTGAAAACTGTATGGTGCCTTCATGCAAGATTTAGGATAGAGAGCAGCCAAGGTTGCAAAGAATGTTGGAGACTATTGTGAGTTTTGTGTCCAAAGCCACCGGGTGCCAAGGCAATAATCTGATTGGCAAAGCAGAGAACAATGATCGCCTTGGAAAACTCCAGTTTCCACCTCATTATGACAGCGTTATTGTGAAAGAAAAACAAGTTACAACAAGCTCAGGAAGCCTCTTTGGCTCTGAGCCTGCCAGCTCTGATTGTGGCAGCTTTAATCCCAAAATGTAAAGCGGTTTTTTTTAAATGTTCCGCAAATGAAGTCGGGTCAAGGGCCAAGTTTAAAAAAAGATTGTGAGAGAATAAACATAAGAATTAGCAGTAAAAGGAGCCGTGTAAAATACAGAAAATGTACCAACAGTTAATAGAATTAATAGAGTTAAACAAATCCCGAAGAGGAGTGTTATAGCATTAGACATTTAAGGTATTGGTATTAAGCTAAGAATAGATGAAATAATGAACACGATTGTAGATTTTAATTGTTCACACAAAATACTTGTACCCAGACACTGTTTAATGTTCATATTAAAATAAAATAAAAACTTAACAAAAAGAGACAGAGAACTACTAAAAAGTTGTGTTATGAAACTGGGTTACCATTTATGGCAATCATCATCAATACAGACAGGATGGCTTTTTTTAAAAAAGACAAAACAATGTCAATCATGGATTTTAGAATAAAGTGGAAGGATTTACTGCCCCCCCCCAAAAAAATAGGTTAATTCAATAAGCAGTGAATGCAGTCTCTTTGTGCCTATGCACGTCTCCACAAGTAGGAAGGTGATTTAGCTTTTCTTTCATAAATCGCTTTTGAGAAACACAGCTTCCAATCTCTGCCAGAAACCACTTGTGAAGGCTTAACAGGTATGAGCATTACCGTAGATTTAACAATGGTTGGCTTGTGCATGATTTGTTGACAAAAGCATCACTGGCTACATTTGAACAACACTCCAAGTTAAAAACTATAAGCTACAACTTGGCAGATACTCATTACATATTATAGGTCTTAGATCTGGCCCATGGGGCCACCTTGGAAACAGTGAAGGGCCAGCCCACTGTGCCTCTGCCAGCAAAAGTGGAGCTTGGGAACTGTTTTTGCTGGCAGAGGGTTGCAGGAGGGCATTGTCGCCAAAAACGGAGCTCAGGAGCCCGTTTTCACTGGCAGAGGGTTGCAGGAGAGCATTGCAACCAAAAACGAAGCTTGGGGGCCTGTTTTCGCTGGCAGATGCTTGCAGGAGGCCATTGCAACCAAAAACGGAGCTTGGGAGCCCATTTTCGCTGGCAGAGCACTAGCGCCACCACAAGTGACATTGAGCTAGCCACACGTCCCCACGCTCCCCTCCCCAAGGTCAAACACAACCCTGATGCGGTCCTCAATTAAATCTCGTTGTACACCCCTGTTATAGTATCAACGAAATGACTTTATTGTGACTTGTCCAGCAAATGGTACCGTGTTTCCCCGAAAATAAGACAGGGTCTTATTTTCTTTTGACCCCCGAAATAAGCACTTGGCCTTATTTTCAGGGAAGTCTTCTTATTTTTGAGGTCCATGAGGTGGTGAGCGTGGTCAACTCATGGCTGCTGCTGTGTTGCAATATTTTCAGGGAAGGCTTATTTTGGGGGGAGGGTTTATTTTATTGCATGCGCTCAAAAGCCCGATTGGACTTATTATCCAGGGAGGTCTTATTTTCAGGAAAACAGGGTAGTTACTACAAACTATGATTTAGCCAAACTATGATTTAGCCTGCAGCATCTGAAGCTCTCTCTTCCTCCACTACATAGCCTTGATTTGTAAGAAAGGAATTGAAAGCTCCTTCAATGAAGTGAAACCACTGGCCAGTTCTGGCTCGGTATTTTCTCGAACAGCACATACACAACATTTGGACATGTTCCAAATGTCCATGAGTCACAACTAATAAACTGTCCACAGCTGTGAGACTTGTAGTCCAAACATCCAGGTAGTCCTTGGTTTAAAGCCATTCACTTAGGGATTGTTCAAAATTACAACAATGCTGGAAAAAGTGACTTACGACCAGTCGTCACACAATGGATCCTAACAGATGATCACAATCTAGAGGGTTGGCAACTGGCTCGCACTTATGACAGTTGCAGTCACATGATCATCATTAGTGACTTTCCCAGTCAATTTCTGATAGGCCGTCAGTGGGGAAGCCTGCAGGAAACATCACCATTCATAGTCCTGTAACGTCTCCCTTAATGACCAATGCAAAAAAGAGGATAAAACTTGGCATGGTTGTGTGATGACTCACTTAACCACCACATAGCTTAAGGACCAATTTTACAGTCTCATTTCTGGTCGTAAGTCGAGGACTCTCTGTACAAGAAAAAGCCTCTCTCATTTACAGCCTCCTTCCAATCTCGCAAAGGAATTGGAGATGGCATTTTCAAAGTGGCTGCAGGCAAACTGCACAATCAGCTTCTCAGTTTGTGTACTAGACACGCCCTGTAGCAAAGCTCACACCAGGAAATGAAATAACAGTCAAAGCAGGCTGCCACTTTGATAAATGTATACAATGGGTAACGCTTGCAGAGAATAAAAATAGCTTTAAAAGGCCTGGCCTAATGAGATTTGCTGGAAAGTGTCAACAGAGTAGAGAAGTTATTGCATTATTTATCCACATCTTTTAAGTGTTGTATCAACATGAGGCCCTGTGTGAGAAAGCAACTGCTTTTATTCAAAAGGATTGTTTCCTAGAAGTTTCGCATCCTTCCGTCACTGGAAGCCGCCTGTCTCAGGACAATGCTGATATATTTCTAAAATCAGTACAGGTTCTCCTCGACTTACAACAGTTCACTTAGAGACCATTCGAAGTCTCAGCGGCACTGAAAAAAAAGTGACTTATGGCCACCTCTCACATTTATGATCATTGCTGCATTTCCATGGTCAGATAAATTTCTATTTAGATGCTTGACAACTGACCCACATTTATGACGGCTGCAGTGTCCTGGGGTCATGTGATCCCCTTTTGAAGTCTAGCTGCAAAAAATATTAAGAGTGTAAGTTGATTCAGCTTTTTTCCACCCAGAATTAAATATATCATTAAAAGCCACTGCAGGGGGCATCGAAGTAATTGCTGTCCAATAAAAGTTTCAGTCTCAATACTTTAATTAACGTTGCATTGTGAATCAATGTGGTGTGTGCATGTTTCTTAAAACAAAAAAGACAAACAGAGCAAGTTTTAAGAAGGATTAAAATACCAAAGGAGAAAGGAGGAGGGAAAGGAAAGCAGGGAGGGGAAAAAAGCTTTCAGCTCCTTTTTGGAGTTTTTTTTTAAATAGATGTGTTTACTTCTTCCTGCTCTTTTCCTTCCAGCTTGATTTAACCATTCAAAAGGCTGGAGAATGTGAAAATGCACTGATAACTTTTGCACCACTTTGGGCAAAGCCTAATCAAGATATTATCTTCCTCTGGGGCTTTTGCACAATAGCCATTCATTGAAACAGCTTTTTCCACACCCCTGAGAAAGAAACTTTGCCCCAAAGGAAAATTTCTTTCAAATTTTACAGAACAAGAGATCAAAAGTCACGCAATCTGCATTTGATGGCAAGGTATGCTGGCCGGGGAATTCTGGGAAAGGAAGTCCACACGTCTTAAAAGGTCTCACCAAGGTTGGACACCCCGGGCTTAACTTCTTAACTAGCACAGCATTAAAAGAATAGAAAAAACAAACTGTACCATGAGATCCAATTTTCCTGTCTCTCTTTAACCATGTTCAATTTAAATTTAACCATGTTAAATCCACAAACCCAGTGGTGGGATTCAGCCAGTTTGCCCCACTTCGGGAGAAGCTGTTGTTAACTTTCTGAGCAGTTTGGGGAACTGGCTGTTGGAAGAAATCATTAGGGCAGAGAACCTGTTGTTAAATTATTTGAATCTCACCATTGCTCAAACCTCATAACTTTAACCTTAAACTGTCTACGGTTGACCTCACTCCATTCCTAAGAGGTCAATAGGGGTGTGCATAAGTGCACCAGCAGGCCTAATGTCCCTGTCCGACTGTCTCCATTTATTTGTACCCATTTCCTGTGTTCTTATTCATGTTTATTCTTATTCCTGTTATCTTGTACATAAGTGACAAATTAGATAGATAGGTATGTAGCTATGTATGTAGGTAGGTAGGTAGGTAGGTAGATAGGTAGTAGGTAGGTAGGTAGGTAGGTAGGTAGGTAGGTAGGTAGGTAGGTAA